AAAGCTACAGCGGCTAAACGGCTCGGCCGATTTTGACGTAATTAACATCAATCGACGCGGAATTTAATGCACTAAAAGACACCTTTGAACAACATTTTCCTTAGGATTCGTTATTTAGGAGTTATAAGCGAAAAACTGAAAAAAGTGCAAAATTTTCATAGTTTTTCGACTCCCAAAACTTAAGCAGACGTCAGAATCCGTCGCAAACTCACAGGAGTATTATTTGGGACCCCCAAAAGGTATTAAAACACTTTCCAGCTTTAGACGATTTTTTGGGGAGCATATGTCTAATTTGCCTGGGCTAATAGGAACAGCTGAAAAATTATTTTAATACTTTTATAAAGTATTTTTTTCAGGTATACTGAATGATTTGAACTACTTACTATATAAAATTACTTAGAGCAGTGATATTCCCCGATACTTTCCATTGAAAAATGCAGTGTACCGATGGTACACTGGTACAGCAGCTCGTCATTTTTAACAGTTTAATACTACTTATCAAAACATATGAAACCTAGGAACTTGAAACTTAGTACTAGTACGCTAGTACTAAGGTTTGTTCTATGTTTTGATACACTAAAACAAATAAAACGATCGGGAAAATCACTCTACATATGTTAAACAAGCAATTAAAAAGTGATATGTAAATTTAGGACAAATGAGTTATTCAATATTTGTTTTGCCTTATGCTATTTCTAACAAACCTAATTAGTTTGATTACATTTTTACATCTCTAATAAGGGCTCAATTTACACTAGTCTTTAGATAAACGGGTTTAATTATTAGAACACTTATGTAACATCAACACATTTTATGTTGTTCAAGATGAGCATTGATGAAATTTGAAACTGAGTTTAAGCCCAGTGGGTTTGTTAAATAGTAATTTTGGTACGTGTGTCAAAAAGTTTTTAATCTGTTTAAAGCAGATAAGACCAAAAATGTAGAATTTAGTTCTACATTAACAATATTATTGAAATTAAATGAGATGTAGTTGTGCCGTGGTCTATATATCAGAGAAAAGAGGATTTTTATTTTAACTGTTAATTTTCTACAAAAATAAATAAAATCTAACAAAAAACCACTAAGTGGTAACACTTTCCCCGCCAAGTCAGCAATCCAAAAAAGTTAATAAATCATTACTTTTTCCGCCAAGAAAAACAATGTAATGTATGTAAGTTTGGCAACTTGGCGGCAGACTTTTGCTAGATCCCTTTAAAAAATACCATAAAACTAGTTTCATTGAGCAAGTATCCCTCCCATTGGTACATTGCTAGGTGAGAGCTTATTTTACAAAATTTGACCTTATTTGTGCCATATTTCATTAATTATACTTAGTTGGACTAATTAATTAGAGAAGTTGATTTGTGAAATTATCCACGAACGTAACTTAAATGAAAAAAACCAAGCAAAAGTCTGCCGCCAAGTTGCCAAACTTACATACATTACATTGTTTTTCTTGGCGGAAAAAGTAATGATTTATTAACTTTTTTGGATTGCTGACTTGGCGGGGAAAGTGTTACCACTTAGTGGTTTTTTGTTAGATTTAATATATAAATTGTATTTTGGAAATTCTTTGTTATCAAGTTTGCAGCAAAAAAACAGTTTGGACACCTTTGCTAGGATTATGGGTAAAGATTTTATAACATTGGTTTATGGAATTTTTTTATTTGGTATTAGGCTTATCTGAATGGAAAAAATCAACCTGGCACGTGATACACAATACTTTACTATGGAGAGTTGTATTGTCTGAAAAAGCCGGAATTGATAGAGAAATATTCTGTTGTGTGTAAAGTTTTGTGTTTCTTATGCCAGAGTCGACTACCTCCCATTCATGTAAGCTTCCTATCCTAAAAAACTTCCTATGTCTCCTGCGATCGCAAAGAAATTGTAAACATTTCTTGTAGTTGTGGTGCTCTCGGGAGCTTCCTTTGCGGTCTCAGTGAAATTGCAAAGGTTTCATGAGATCACGGGGAAATTGTGAACGTTTCCTACAATCGTGACGAATGGTGAACATTTTGTGTAGTAAGGCAAAATTGAGACATTGTAAATAACTGCGTTCATGGAATACGCAGTAACATTGTAAAAATACCCCACAGTCACCGTCATCATAGTTTCTTTGTGATCAGAGGAAAATCTGGAACATCGCCTGTGACTCTGGCAAAATCTGGAATTTCCGTTTGCGTAACCTTGCCAGGCTCTTTCTAGGATTGCAAGATAAAAAGCTTGACTTTCTGTTTTGGTATTTCCCAGTCAATCATTCTGACTTTGAGGCTAGTCTTGGTGTGAAAATCACCTTCACACTATGTTGTGATCTTGAATCACGAGCCAAGGAATCACAAGACAGACTAAGGTGTTTTAAACTTTTTACATTGAAAAATGAAAATGAAACTGCTTGCACGCATATTTTTAATACAGTAGACTCCCACTTATCCGGACTCCTCGGGACCGAGGCCAGTCCGGATAACGGGGTTTCCGGTTTAACAGACGTCCCCAAAAACTTGTTTTAAACGGACAGTTTACTGATGTACTATGATATTCGACTTAAATTTAGGAGAGCGTTGTATTTAGACACGTGATCACTGGTCTCAAATCTTTCCCACGAGAACAGTCCTTTCAGTACCGCGCACTTCCTGCCGACAGAGTCCGGTTAAACCAATGTGCTGATTACAATTGTCCTATTAAAGAGATGTCATTTCCGCTGAATGTAGTCCGGTTAAACCGATGCCAGGTTAAAAGGTGTCTGGATAAGAGGGAGTCAACTGTAGTATGAGATGAATGAAACTAAATGTGAACTGCAGGACGAGTTATCTGGAGGTGACTTATACTCGAGTCAGGAGGAGAGTGGGGGTCTGTTGAGCAACGTGGGGGAACTGCAAGTACTCCTCTTGGACTCTTCTACGAGAGAGCAAACTTCGGAGTTTGAACAGTCCACGATCAACCTACGAGATCTGGAGTAACCAACACTGCCACGCTAGTCGATAATCGTAAGTCGTTACTGACTCTATAAACTTCAACTTGCACATGTTTCAAACTGTGATCTATGTAGTGTTTGTGAAAATTGAGTGACATTGAGATTAAACTCATGATTTTATTGTAACTCATAGGTACAGTTGACTCTCTTTCATTCGGACATCTGATGTTCATATTGGACCCATTTAAAAACTACCAAACTTTCAAACTACCAGATATTTACACCAAAACTACTAAATACATTGTAAATATGTGTGAAAAAATGGTAAACACCAATACTCTACAAAAGGGGTGTAGCAAAAATATCTGAACAAAAAAGTTGGACAAACACTTGGTGACTTGTTTTACAAGGCTATTAACAAAACCTGTTTGCAAGTGCTATGCAAGGTGGCCGTTGAAAGTCTGAAATTGAGAGTGAGTCATCTGTACCAATTGATTACTATTTAGAAGCTTTAAAACAACACAAGAATGGACGTGTTAAGCAACTTGTTCTTATAATCTATTAGTTACCATTAATCTTGTAATATAATTTTCTGAATTTTGTAAAATTACATAATTTGTATATTTTTTTAATAATATTTTTATAGTGATTAAGTTTTTTTTCTTGTATCTATGCCAGTGGCATTTTTGTAATGTTTGGTTAAATCATGAAATATGAGCCCTTATGTTTTTACGCTATCTTTAAAAATATATATATTTTTTATTAAAATATAACGATTAGCATTTTATTTTTGCAAACTTAGTTAATTTACCTTCTTCAAATATTTGGTTACATACTAGGGTAAAATAAGTTGTGAAATCATAATAATTTACATGTTTTTCAGACCTGTTATGACATTTAATCTGAATGATAAAATTATTGTAAGTAATGAAATTAAATGATTTTCTGAGCCACCTATACTGAATGAATCAAAAGGTTAATGGTTCAATCGTAAGAAGTTGTTTTTAAATTTGGTAACTGGACCCATTTTCCCTTGATTATTATTATCAATTATTTAAGATGGGGACGCCACTATGTGCGTATTTTAACCCAAATATGAGTGAAGGATGAGTGTAGGAGGAGTGGCACGATCTTGTAGTCTTGTTGGTGACTAAGGCCAACATATTCCTTAGACACAGAAGCTGTTAATTAATAGCCCAAACAGATAATGGCAACTAAGGGACTTACAGTTTAATAGTGAAATCCGAACCACATTATTGCCTTGGTATTAACAAATTGGTCTAATTATCAGGATATTACTGCGGATAGTCGTAGTACTCACTAGTGCGGACGTTAATCCACACCAGGGAGTATTGCATCCTCAGTGCATCTCTATAAATATCTTTATAAACCATTATTGGACTCGTAATGGTCCTCCTGGCTAACAGCTGATTTCATTAATTTGGCAAAATACAAAATGGCGGATTAGTTAACGAAATGATTTTGAAAAAAAATGTCATTCATAATTTTCTCTTTGTTTTGCACCATTGACCCATAGAACCATCTCCAGAGTTTAGCTGTTTAATTACAGGACACCCTGTATAAATTAATCTGAAATAGTCACAAAAGATGATAAATAATCTGAAACTGTATACAGTATATAGGTGGATTGTAACAAATATTTAGTTGTTTATTTATTTAGAAACCTAATTAATTGTACTTTGATCAAGAATTGTCACATAAGTTGACGTGAAGTGTTTTGTATTTGTGAATTTAAAAATGATAAATGTGATTGATTAAAATTTTGTTATTATTTTCCACATAAAATCCTTGATTAGACAGTTGAGTAGATGGATCTAAAAATATGTTGTATTCTATAGCGATGGATTCTGTTTGAGTGGCGTTCTTTTAAAAATCTTTACTCAAATTTTACAAATACATTTTACTCAATACATATTTTGTACCAAATGGACAATTTGATTGGAGAACTTTAATAAACCCTTCTATTGATAATGTTAATAGGAAACAAAATCACAGTATTATGTAAAAATAACCTTTATTGTTATAACTGAAGTATAAATTAATACTTCATTTAATTATTGTATTTAAGAAATTCTCTTGATTACCTTTATGTTCGAATTAAATTGAGTTTTTTCAAAACGTGCACAAAGAAAAACGTTTACAGACATTTTATTGAATAAGATTATAAGAGAAGCTGGTAAAAACTAAATTTATATTATAAGTAAGAAATTAAACAAATATACACTAACAATTGGTGTGCAACCTTTCACTTATTTTTAGAAAAAATTATAATTATATAAAAAATAACGTTTTTAGGAGCTAGGTGACAAGATAAACTTTTTTTAAAGAAAATAATACATAACACTGCACAAAACCTCTAAACATATGCTGCAAAATAACATTGTGTTTTATTTACAGGTGCAAAAGTCTACTAATTGTAGGCCTATATTACTTGTGTAGATTTTTACAATTTACAATCAAAACTTTGTAGCTGCCTTTTACTACTAAATTAAAACATCCTCAATGTGATTTTTTGCCTAAATATTGGCCTTGAATAAAAAACCAAAGAATTCCAAGCAGACAACCGTTTTCCCATATTTCATTACTGTATCAACTAACATCATTAATGGGCACACAAATGTGTATTTGAAGGTCTTTTAAAAACACAGCCTACAGTTAAAAACCAATTTCTTTTTGGCATATGAAACAACATGTTTTTGTGGTTTTAGAGATACTTTTTACTTTATTGCTACGTTTGTGATTATGTAAACAACATTAACGGATTTTGATAGTGTAAGAAATGGCTAATAATCACAGCTTAGCATTTGACAATGAACAGCTTTTGAGCAACTTTCGGATATTGCTAGACTAATTTAGGAACATTCACCACAGCAAAACACGTAAGGACGGATCATACTTTCTGTCTTCTCGATAAAAACTTACACTAGAACAATGATAAAGCGTAAAAACAATAGCCAGTGCTAACATCTAAGATTAAATTGGAATGTATCTTTGAATACTTTAAGGTAATAATACTTGTTTCAGATCAGCTTGATAGCTTATTTTACTACTTTTTTAAAAATTAGAAATTAACACTAATGAATAAGAATTTGAAGTACCAACTATCATTTATTACATAGTAAATGCTACTACTATAGTAAGATATGATTTTGAATATTTACAAATATTACTGGAGCTGAATTGAGTATTTTAAACTATGTCTGATTATTAAAAAATGTTCAAACAAGATACATTACTTTACAGTAATCAATTAAGTGTTTATAAAATATCGTTTAAGCAACTGGTAAAATACGTAAATATACTTTTATGAATCTAACAGAGATGATAACATTCATTATTTGTTATTTTGTTATAGTAAAATAAATCTCCCCTTACTGCACAGAGTAAAGAACGATTGAGATCCATTCATGTCATTCCCATGTTTCTGAAATGTATTGGACATAATAATATTACAGTTTAAAATTGAAGTGTACATTAAACTGTAATATTAATTAGTAAATCGCCTATGCAAGAAGCGGTGTTTAGCCAGATTTGTGAATATTGTAAAAGTTCAAGTTAATTTCCCGGGAGAAAAAAATACAAACCAAGCTTTTAACAAAAACTTATCCTCTAAAAAAAACGCTTCATCTTTTAACTTTCAATATACACTCGTAAAGCTTAAGTACAGTAAAAATACAATTTAAATTCAGTTTTCTTAAAAAAGAATACCTTACCTATGTGGCCACTCAAACCTCAGTAGGTTTTTGGTCCAAAAGAATACCATATAAAAATATTTACAGAACTAGTGAGTGTTTTAACGAGTGCTAAAACTAATTCATTACGTGCTGTACGATAGGTGAGACTTGGTAACAATATAAATATAAAGCTTATCACTGGAATGTGAACATTAAACTAAGTCGTTTATAGGAATTTCGTTTGTAGCTCCCTGCAAATTTCTTGTGCGATCTTCTCGTCTTTCTTCTTCGCGTCTGCGTAAAGCTTGGAAAATTTTGCATCTTAATACGCAGGAAAAAGAGACGAGTACATGAACAATTATCACTAACAATAAACAACACTGTATTACCACTAGAGTAGTCACAGGCTTCCTCCAGTCGAGAATCTTGTAAACGTAAGAACGGCCCTTCCTGCAAAAATAGTCACAGTCAAGAACATTTATTCATACAGTTGCATTGTATAAATCAAGGCTTTGGCCACTGGCACCCCTGTGCCAATGTTGGGGGAGCGAGCTGGTATAGTGGTTAGAGCACGGGATTTCAGTCCCTGAGGTCCGAAATTCAAATCCCACCAAGTTACCAATGGATTTTATCGAAGTGATAATGCCGCAACCGCTTTGACTAGCCTGAAGTAATGTGAAAAACAATTCCGGACTCGTGCCTAGCGTCTTAGGACAAAAAAACCCCTATGCAAGTGGGAACTGATTAGAATAAAAGTGTCTCAAATCAAGCTAAGAACTCTGCGCTGTTGTAATATTTGATCGGCCTCGACGGGAGCTCGTTGCGACCTATATCCACAGATATCCCATGGACATGAACGAACAAAACACAAAGTCTACTCCTACTGTAATACCTACGTTGCACACATTTTAGTGCTGTTTTAGATCTAGCTGTCAAAGATTTAGATACATTAATGGAAAATTGGCAGTGAAATATGTGTTAATATGATAGCGTTCCAAGATCTAAGAGCATCTATACACTGTTGTCCTTGAAAATAAGGAGTAACAAGAAAAATACATATTTTTGTCTTACAATTTTTACCATATTAGTCAGTAGGATGACAATATAGTAAACCTTAAGATTGATTTTGGACTGAGAAACCAACCACAAATTCCAAATTAGTATTTAAATCTTAAATCCAACAATCTTAAATAAAAATAACCATCTTACTGATGCAAGATAGTCTTAATGCACACATAACAAGCAACCCTGAGGTGAAAATGTAACTTTGTCTTTAATTCAAGCAAACAAACCAAGAACCAGTTGATGTTGGTTTAGAGTATCAAACCCCAGAGAAGTAAGATACAGAGGAAACATTCAATCTGTTCCCATTCTGCCTCCCTACTTTGAAACAGCCGACAGCTGAACAGCTAATAGATTAATCTAAAAAAAAGTGGAGAGGGAACACAGGGACCTTTACCTGTTACCGCCAAAATTTTGTGAACGGACTTTAGTCGCTAGTGTCTAGGGCAAAGTCCAATACAGCCACCCCTCTCTCTCATGTACTACAACGCTACAGGTGGAGGAAGACTTTATGTCCTGTGCGATAGGAATTTCCGCACAGTGCTCGCTGCTCAGGCTCTTCCTTGCTTGGCACAAGTATATTTTTGACACATAGAGCTGAAAGTGCATGGTTGTCGCTAAACAATTTTCCTCTATACCTTACTTCTCTGTGACTAAACCTAATAACTTGCCTGTCAGTTCCGCCAGCCAGGAAGTACACGTAGTTGAACGAAACATAGGACAAAGCGAAGGCAAGCGGCCAGTAAAAGTCGACTAGTCGTATCGGGTGAGCGATAATTATCAGATCAGTCAACATTAGCACGGAGTTGCCTGCGTGGACGAGAATGTTCAAAGTGTCCAACTTATTCTCGGCTGCAACATCATTATCAATCACTGAAGGTAACAAATTTTAATCATGGTATAGTGAAAAATATTTTAAGGAAATTTTATGGGAAAAGGTTAGTTAGGACATTGGACGAGGACACACAAAGAGAATAGTATGAAGATCCAGAATGGTTAAAATGTCAAGGATCAGATAGGATTAGCATTTTTTCTAAAAGAGAAGAAGTAAAAGGAAGGAATGAAAGGACTAGTCTGTAACCTTCCTTATCGGGCCCGGATTGGGACTATTTGAGGCCCTCAACTAAAACCTGTATAAGGGTCCTCCTATTTGAATATTAACATTTTATTTTTTCCTAATTACTACCAGGAACATTGTTTACAGAAGCATTTGGGGTAGATGACTGTCATCACTGACAATGCTCATAACAATGTCTCAAGTCCTGATAGAAAACCAGTTGTTGCATTCAGTCCGTTATAATTTAGTACAGGCAATATGGATTTGACTATCCATTAACTTTAAAACTTGGAATATACAGTACCTGGGTCGAACACAAATCCCCAGTAGATGGCGGTTATAGCGAAGGCTCCTACAGTAGCTACACTGTGCAGTATCCAGTATATCTTCAAACTGAGACACATCTTCATTGCATCTGTTTCCTCATCTTTGAACATACGAGAATTTGAAACATGTTCATGTTGACCTAAGTATCTTTAAAACAGTATTTTCTAGGAACTTCCCAGCTTTTCCTCATTCATGATGAATCATTCAAGATGCAATAGCTCACAATAAGTCCTTTCAATTTGGATTAGTTAAAAAATTATGTATTTAACAGAAATTATGAATTGTCAGAAAACTCTGTCTATAGCTCAATTAAACTATAATGTACATTTAAAATCTAAAACTTACTACAGCTGTAATATGGAAATGGCATAGTAAATAATAAAATTATTAAGTAAATAAAACTTCTATATCAATAAATTTACCAAATAACATTAAGTCTTTACCCAGCTAGAATTTCTTGACTGTTCACACAGGCATTGACGGATATCTTACTACATCTAAGAAGATGTCGTTCTTGGTGTTTTTTTAAAGTTCACACCAACGTATTATTACATGAGCAACAGGAGCGCTGACGCTACGTTATCTAATTACGCGATGCTGAATACACCCGTGTGCACTAGCACTCTAGGGTATCACCCCATACCATCCTCTCACCGCCGTCAACGTTGTGGTCACCAATATCCATCCACAGCAGAGTAAATGCAAGAAGACCATCACCGTGGTATTGAATTGGGCACCGTTCCATGATCTAATATGTGCGTGAGGTTTGATCTTGATCTGTGAGCAGTTGGAGTGTGGCTCTATTAAAGTGGAGGGGGTAATAGCAGAGGCGACCCGCCGGCTACGTAGCCAGGACCTGATGTAGCCAGCAGTGTGATTATGTAATACATCGGAGACGTAGTAAGACATCTTGTGACGCCGGTGTGAACAGTCCTTAAGGCTATGATAGGAGAATCAGAGGTAACTCCCACCTGGGTGTCTACAGTGTGCCTTGGTCACCAAGTAAGCTGCCAGTAGAGCCTGTAGTGTACAGGCAGTGAACCCCCAGTGAGTCAGGTAGATGATCCACTTGGCGTAATGTACAGCGCCCATCCCCCCGGGTCTACCCAGCTCTACCAAAGACGCCAGCAGGATGCTGAAGAAGACACTGGCAATCACCCAACGGTACACCAGGTAGTATATGCTGATGCCTGGGGTCCTCTGCCACTGCAATAAGTAACAGATATAAGTGTTGCTTGTTGCTAGTCTAGCGAATAGCGTATTTCCTTCTGGGTATACATAGCACCGCCAAAGAGGCCAGCCAAGTACCTGAGGACGTACACCAAGTAGTGTGTGCTGATGCCTGTGGTGGTAAAGGGAGGACTTGGTATAGCCACTAAAATTTGAGGCACTTAAATTTAATTTGTTTTGATTCTCTACATAATATCCCTGGTAGGCTTTAACAAATTACTAATAAAAAAAGTTAAATCATCCAGAAGATTCCTTGACACTTAAACATATTGGAGGGGTTGTTACTAAAGTTTATGAGGTTAACCCCTTTTGACCTCTCACAGCTAACTTAATCCAGAGCCGCAGTTTGCGTGTGTCGCGCTATGTGCCTGAGATAAATTGAGCCCCTCTTCCTTGTAGGTTTTCTTCCTTGGGCTCCTAGGCCCATTTATTACAGCAGCCCTGACTCAATCACACTATAACATTGTTGATGAAACGGCACAAAATTTTTTCAACACCAGCTGTCTCTATCCCTAAGCTCCCCAAGTTCTTCCACCGAATGAAATTGATGGAGAAATCTTACAACATGCTACATCCAGAGTGTTTACGTTCACAAAACAAAATGATTTCACTATGTACATGCTATGGAATGTGACAATCTCACCTGGGACTTGACCAACATGTCCGGTGTGTAGTGGTTCATGTCCATGACTTTGGAAGATATTTTCTGTCGCCATGCTGTTATCTGCAATACCATCTCACAATAGCCACTCCTTCTTCCTAGAAACAGAAAAAAGCTGGTCAGTTAAGAGTCTTCATCACCCTGCGTTTTGGGGATATGACTTTGGGGGGAATGTGTTGAGGGCGGGCGGGTAGCGCGGGGTCATTATGCGCGCCATTCTGAAAACATCGTAAGCACACAACTACTAAATCGACAAGTCGGTGATTCATCTGCCGCCTGAGCCAACTTTTGTAAAAGGCTAGTAGCGAAGTAGCTTCCAACAAAACATGTAAATTTCTTCCCCTGTTTCGGAGGCCGTTTTTCAACAGGTTTTTTTTTTTAATTTGGTATCAATGTAGTTGAATATTTGTATTAGAGCTCTTATACCTCAAAAGGTTGAAAATGTAAAAAATAATTAGTTTTATCAGGGTCTAAAAGTGACTCAATTTACGTTACTTTTAGTTTTTTTTTGTACTTTTATTATTGATTTTCTTGGATATATCATGTATGAGGGCCCTAGAACCAACATTAATCTGTAAGGGAAAACAGTTTTAACATTATATCTTCACACATTCCACCCAGAGCGAGGGACGTCCAAGGCATGTTTTTATTGTTTTCGCAGGGGTGAAGAAGACTCTTAATGCTTCCTTCCAAATGTTTAATCAGTGACTTTGTGAACGCACAAGTCAGTATATTTAAAAGAGTTTCAATGAAATGGCTGCATCTTGCACGTTTTATAAAAGGGTTGCTGAGCTCAATCCTGAAAAAAGTCGACATAATGGAGACTATAAGACGTTGATCAGGATGGCCAATAGGAGAAGGCCGACGAACTTTAACTGGTAGACGCGAACGAAATACAAATAATACTATTGTCGTTGATAGCCGAATAAGGCAAGCACCCTTCCGTGTTGGCTTTTAGTGTGCTCTCCAACAGTCGCCTGAAGATTTCACATTCAATTTAGTATTGTTGGATAATGGCTGCATAAGCTGTTGATTTTGGAAGACAAGGAGGCGGGTAGGACTAAATCGGAAACAGAAGAGAGGGGATATTAGATGAGTCAAAAATGCGTTGGGAGCAGTGTTTTATGTTAACGTTTTAAATGTAAACGTTTGGATATATACCTAATATTAGAAAGAGACTGGAACAAGATTGGGAGATGGGCCAATATGAAATACAGTTTGTCACAGGACATGGAAAATTTCAAGGCGATTTTGTGAAGATTTCACATGGTGGAAGAGGAAGTATGTAGATGTGGAGAAATAAAAACCACGAGTCACGTATTTATAAATTATTTACTTCAGGAGACAAATAGGAGAGGTCAGGAATAAGTCTAGGATAAGATAGGCCTAGAGATGAGAAAATAAAACATGATGAGTGACAAGGAAGCAATTGAGACGTTTAGAAAAGTAGTTAAGGAAATAGGAAAAGACAAGGGATACATACAGGCATTAACATTTAAAAAAGAAACAAACAAAAACTAAGAAAGAAAAGGGATGAAAACTTGCCCATGAAGGGGAGAGGAAAGGTTAGAGCGAATCTCAATGATCCCTATCGCTCAGGGGTCGGTATAGGGAAGGGAGTCGTGCTGTTAGCATTTTGGACACATAATGTGTCTGGAAACCTAATGCAGCTATGAGTAAGGCTATTTGTAGAAAATACTATTTACAATGTTGATTATATCGATCTGTTAAGTACATCTTTGGTATTTTCATAATATTTGAGTCAAATATTTATGACTGTTATTAGCAATTGCTCGAATTCGAGCAACAGGTACACTAGTTTGTTTTAAATGTTGACCCAGTACTTGTTTTAATTGTTAGGTATTTTTGTCTTTGGTGTTTGTTTTCATAGTGTGAGAATAAAGTCTGTAAAGTTGGTTGATATGTAATGGATCCACAACTTATTTAAGACAATAATGACATAATTTTTATATTGAATATGAATGCTAGGTTAGTGTAGAATGGAGTGTGCAGCTTAGCTTAGTCAGCTGTTTCTTCTAACCATGATGATTTATTAAAAGCCAAATAATCGATGTCAGCTGGGCACAGTTTTACAATACTAAATAGGTCTTTTCTTATGATTGAAAAAGCGACTTTGATCACTAGGATAGCACCGTAACCACTCACCTAGCTATTTTAATCCAATCAACCGACAACTAGCCGATTTCAATTTTACCACTTATTGACTAAATCACGGAGACTAAGCCATAAGCAGGAAGTGTCAGACTGTGTTATGAGGCATCTATTGTGTAGGCAGATTGGATTTAATTGTACAACATACGGCTGCCTTCGGTTCTTGTCAACGGTTTTCTCCGTTCTCTGCGACAATTCAAACTACATTGTACTTCAATAGTTGAGGTTACGTAAAAAATATGTATCAATTGTTTGTTACTTGTAAGACACGGATGGAAACCTAGATACATATTTGGATTTAATTGTACATCGATGCCTTCGGATCTAGTAAACGGTTTTCTTTGTTCACTCTGATAATTAAAACCAAGACAGTTAACTCAGATCGCAAGTTTAATTGTATTTTAGTTGAGTAAGTCTTGCTTATTCCTGTAAAGACGTACTTGAGCCAATAAAAAACTTTTAATTTTCAGCTAAAACAAAAATCAGCTTGGTTTTACATTTGTACAAGGAAATTTAAAACCGTGAAGTTCCAATGATAATCGCACTAATTAACAGAACCTTATAGATAAATGGAGTATTTAACAAATGCACTATATTATGGAGGTTGAGTGTTACAGTGGAATTTACAAACTATAGTTTTCTGGTGTTGTTAAATAAACTATTTTTAGAAACTCATTTTTATAAACCATTATTGATACATCCATTACTGACTAGGCAAGGTCATGTGAATTATTACATGTGTTAGGCAACTTTTAGACATTTCATTTACTGTAACTAATATAATATTCAGTATTACTGAATTTCTTCCTAATATTACTTTAAGTTCAGTAATTTTTTCTAAAAATTTGTACTACTTTCTTTTTCCTTTTCAACTTGTTGAACCACTTAGTACAATTTTAAAATTTATGTCAAATGAAAACGGTTTTAAAATGTTGTCGTTAACAAAAATATGAGTATAAGTTGTGTATGCTTAAAGTTGTAAAATAGCTGGAAAAGGGAAAGATAAAATTGTATATATTGTATTTGTGCTACAACAACGCATCAAAGCTATTCACAAAATTATGACATATTTTTAAAATATTCAGTTTGAGCTTTTTGCTAATGTTTCTTTCAAAGTAAACAGAAGAATCGTCATCAGCTATTTTATATAAGGTTTTGCAATCCAACATTATGGACAATATATGATCAGATAAGATAAGAATAGCCATTAGATCTGTCCACAAAAGGGTCTGAGCAGAACCGCAGAACTAAAGCTATCTCAGTTCCATTACTCAGTTAAACCATGTAAAGTTTCATTTGGTTTTTGCACTGCATAACCTCACTAATTCGAACCTCGTTAATTAATTAAAAAAAAACCCTCCACCGTAACTTACGTACTTTCCCTTTAGAAAACCTCTAGTTGTAAAAATAAAATATACCGTTGATCCCAAGTGTTCGTGTTCGTAATCCCCTACAGTATCTTAAATTTGAATATGCTGCTTATATATAGGCTTCTAGAATTTGGATTTTGTTGCTGTTATAGTAATGTTACCCCTAAAATTCAAAGTCGACTTCTACCAAATTAATCGTGTACTGTAACCCTCTGAAATTTGAAAAAGCGCAAAAACATGAACTAATGGGTTTCATGTTTATTTGAATTCAGTGCTATTTGTTGTCATTTCAACGTTTTGCCTCTGATTCAAACTTTTGATTTTTAAACTTCCTTTGATTCAAATTTGGCTGTCTCCTGGATTTTGTAGAATTGATGTTCTATTATATGAGGAGAGGAGGAGCGAGCTGGTCTAGTGGTTAGACTTCGGTGCCTGATGTCCTGGATTCAAATCCTGCCAATCAGCAATGGATTTTATCTAATTGATAATGCCGCAACCCCTAGGTCTAGTGTGAAGTAATGTAAAAAACAATCCGGAGCTCCTGCCTAGCGTTCTAGGACAAAAAAAAAAAACTATATGAGGAGTGGGGGAGCAAATTTGTCTAGTGTTGGAGCACGGGGCTTCGGTGCCTGAGGTCCCGAGTTCAAATCCCGCCAATCAGCAATGGATTTTAACTGTGTGATGATGCCGCAACCCTCTAGGAGTAGCCTGAAGTAATGTGCAAAATAATTCTGGACTAGAATTAGCGTCCTAGGATGTGATGATGAGACAGAAAAGAATAGAAAAAAAACTATATGAGGAGTTTTGTCATAAATCAAACATCTAAATACTCTTGATTTCTGAAGGAACAATAAACAGAATTTTAAAAGATTTTCATGGGTATAGTAGCCTATGTCTTTTACCTTTGTCCACATGTTATTCAAACTATTAAAATGGTTACAACCAAAAATAGAACAATTTGTAAAGGAATTCAATTGTAATTTTAAAATATATTTCAAAGGACTGTTAGATATTTTGTTTTGTTTTAATTGTGATGCAGTCTTAATGCCTGAGGTATTGTTCTGATGTATATGAAAACAAATTATCTGACGGTAGACACATTTTTAGTAGGTGTAGGTCTTAAGTGGTCCTAATCAGCTGCTTTTAGAGCCCTTTGATAAAAGAAAGCAGCAGTGTTTACTCTGTCATATCGATCAGCTGTTAATTTATTTAGTTTACACACTCACTATCTGATGCATTGTTGCCATTGCTTAGCAACCATAACCTCAAATTTCCAAAACATTTATATTGACGTTATGTTTATTGCTTGGCAAGCCAAGAGGTTATTGCCTTCTTAAGGGTTGATTAAAACTAGGTTTGGTCATATGTTTTTGTTTTTCTTTATGTTTAATGGTATATGAGAATAGTGTTCACATTTTGGGTGAAAGTGTCCCCCTAGGCCCCTGACTTTCTATGTAGACAAACGTTTGGAATTGAAACACAATCTGACTGAGCTTGCAAAAAGCCCCGTCTGCTCTTTAGCGAAATAAAGCTGTTTTGTAACTCAGTACAGAAAG